TGTGTTCTTTAATATTCTTATACCATGTTATCTAGGTGCTGCTATGTAGGTATGCTCGTATGCAATGAGGGTCCTTGTGAATTTGGGATATTAAAATATTGCACGATGCACTTGATCAGTGAGATATAACTGGGAACATATGAAAAAAATGCAGATGCTGCGAGTACCATTTTGATAGTTGCTGCTCGGCAATCTAATGCAAGTTGACTCCAATGGGCTGTAGGATGCTGAAACATTACACGATGCATTGAACTATCCCTTGAAGTGCAATTGAGTGCCCAACCTCAATATCTCCTCTTTCTGCATATCCTTCATTTTCATCAATCGCTTTCTTAACTTTCATCTTCAGATCGCACTTTCTCACACGTCGCTACTTAGATTAGAGAAATTCGTTCGGTTCGCACTCGACTCTCAAAGCTGCACACTATATCGGCGCAATGAGTTAAAACATAAATCAAATTTTTAATCGAGTCCCCGTAATCTTATCCTTCTCGTTCGTTTTTCCGTCTTGGTCCATTGTTGTCAGTTTTCGGAAATCTCACAACTCATTCAGCACAAACATTTGCAAACAAGGATTTGCCATTTGATTTGCCACTATGCTCTTCAGGTAATCACTGGGAATTGATTCAGTTTTGTTGTGAATGAGAAGAAAATGACTATATTAGGATTGGTGGCCAGTTTGTTGCTAAGCTGTGCAGGATGCTTCTTCACATATCACGCAATTCTGGAGTATATTCCGATATTTGTTCAGCGCAAAATGTGTGGCAAAGACCAATGTAAAGTGAGTTCTTTTTATTCACCTTTTATGCCTCTATCATTCGTTGTTGTTGATGATTGCTCCAGTGATCTCACTGCAAGTTTCTTGGCTCCAGGCGATCAGCAAACCGATCCCGGAACCGATTGGAGTAATATCCGCTGCAGTGTATCTGGTCGTCATGTTCGTATTTATTCCGTTTACAACTCTCGAGCACACAGACGCCAAGCAAGTTTCTGTCTTTTGATTACGGAAATATTCATATTTAGAGTAGTTTTTTGATGATTGTGAAGTTTCAGTTGATTGTTGATAAAATATTCTTGTAGGATGTGATGATAGAAGAGCTGATCTTATTACTAACTTCAAATTATTATTGGTTTTAAGGTCGCCGTTTCAACTGAATGAAATGCTGTCGTTTATGTCGGCACTGATCGCGATCTGTTCGACGATATTACTGGGATTTGCTGACGATGTTCTTGATTTACGTTGGCGTCATAAACTTTTATTTCCAACTCTATCCTCTCTTCCATTACTTCTTGTTTATTATGCTACAGGTATCTTCAGCGTAAGAGTTTAATTTTTTCTCTTCTTGTAAAGCTTCTTCAGTGTTTTTTACGTGTGCTTGTTATTTGAATTTTTCTTCCGAAGATAATATCTCCTTCATCGTTCTAGGATCATCGACTGCGGTTGCGTTACCAAAACAAGTGAGATTATTTTACGTGTTTGAAACGCTTGATATTGGACCGTTATATTACATTTACATGGGCATGATGGTAAGTATTTTAGTGTTTCTTTCCGGAAAGTGTTATTATTTCGTTGATGGACTCTTTGGAATGATTCTGAGATTATTTAGTGGCTTGAAATGTGATATTCTTCTGCAGGTAGTATTTTGCACGAATGCGATCAATATACTCGCTGGGATAAACGGACTTGAAGCGGGTCAAGCTTTTGTTATTGCGATATCTGTTGCGATATTCAACATCATTCAGGTTAACTTTGAAATTTTATCTGGATCATCCTTTTTCCGTGGATTTGAAATGTTGATTTACTTTGTTTGACGTTGACCAAATGTCAAATATTGCAGTTGATACGTTTGGAACCACCAGATTGGTATCACTACCTGTCGCTCTATATATTGCTACCTTTCATTGCGACGACTGGTGTTTTGTTGTATTTTAATTGGTGAGTTATTTAAGCCAGGAAACTTGATCGGTGAACGAGCAGGTGGTTTTGAAGATGAGCATTCTAGACCATCTGAACAAAATCTAGTTTGGTTAGAGGATACGTTAAGATCGTTTCAGGTATCCAGCGGAAGTATTTGTTGGTGATACGTTCTGCTATTGGGCTGGAATGACCCTGGCGTCGAGTTGTATCCTTGGCCACTTCAGCAAAACAATGGCTCTCTTCCTATTACCACAGGTTGCAATCAATCATCATGACGATGAGAATATTACCTCTTCTCTCGCTTATTTATTTGATTCCTTATTATCATTCCTGTCTCCAACAAAGTTATGTTATTACTAATTGTTTTCAGGTATTCAACTTCCTATACTCGACACCTCAGTTGTTTCATTTAGTGCCGTGTCCACGTCATCGGTTACCGAAATTTAACGCGGATACGAACATGGTCGGAATGAGTTTCGCAGAATTCAACGATAAAGGTAGGATATCATGGACTATATTCATATCTTCATGCGTTGTCTTTATCATGTGAATACTTTATCATGCATTGTAAAGATTCTCAGTTCGCGTCAGTAATGCTATTATCACCGTTATTATATGTTAATATTGTCGTTGAACTGGATTATGATTGCCGTGATCAATCGTTACGCATTCAATTAAACATATGTATTATGGTATGGTGCGTCTGTTACAGACTTGAAACCACTGGGTGCTGTTATATTGCGTGTCTTCGAAACGTGTGGCTTATTATATCGTGAAACATACGAGAAAGATGGAGAACGGTCAGATACCATCATTTTTTATGTTTTATTGTTTGCTTTATCCTCGTTCCAATTTTACTTGGACACCTTAGTGGTACTGTTTTTTAAAGAAATTATTATCAGTGCTATTCTTTCATTGTTAATATTATTCTTCTTATAATTGTTACTGTTGAAGAGCCATTATAATGATCTTGTTGTGAATTTGAGGTGGACACGAATAAACAACTTAACGTTGATCAATCTGTGGCTGAAGTTGTTCGGCGCAATGCATGAGAGGCAGCTGACCATTCGGTTGCTTGCCCTGCAGATGCTGTGCTCTTCATTCGCATTCTTCATTCGTTTCTTCATGGCAAATCTCGTTTATGACATTGTCCGTTAGTGCTGCGTCGTTAGGTAGTAAATTGTTTCGTGATATTATAGTCGGAATTGTAGTATTCTTTACATTTTTACAATTATTATCATTCCAGCTATCAGTATTCATTTGTTGTTGTTTTCATTCTCGATGTTGTTTGAATTGATTGGCGTTAATAACATCTCAGTGAACTTGTCAAATTTTATTTCCTTGAATATATGCGATAAAAATTCAAGGATTTTCTTTGTATCATTGACAGTTTGTAATATGTTGACTTTGGAACATTTTTTAAATTATTTGTTATGTTTGTATTCGTTTTGATTTTGTTCGTTTGTTTATAATGTGATATGTGGTGTATTTTCATTGTGGGGATTTTTCTTCGGTTGGATAATTCGATTGTCGTTTGAACATTTGAATTTATATGTTGCTATTTTCGTCCAGTAATCTTTTGCCAGTACCAACAATAATACTGAATGATAGCCGTCTGCAAGCTTGATCGACTGCCACCAGCGTTTCGAATCATCATGAAAGAAATGAGAAGAGCACGAAACGGTTTTTCTCAGTTCTGGACCGTAGACCACTCAAACATCCCAATCTGAAGATTAAAAATCTCGCTCAATATTATGAGCCATTATTGTACTGGTAATAAATGTACGGAGAAAAATTACGGACATCCAGCAAGTTTGGAACTATTATATAAAACAAGGTTTTTTTAAAGAATGAATTATTACGAGGTATTGTTATTTTAAAGCTTTCAACTGTGATAACTTCTCTTTTTGTTTCACAATGTTTTAGCTTAAAACTCAGTGTGTTTTGTTCTGTCGAATACCCAATTTTGGTAGGAAATTTGCTGTATTTGTCATGAAGTTGGCAATATATTTCATTGAAATTTTTGTTGTAATAACTGTGAAAAATAAAAGTTTCCATTAACGTTGTCATTTATAAGCGAAAATTTGTGAATAACAACAAATTTATCAAAGAACTTGATGAACAATACGAACTGAATTGAGCAGCGAGAAAAATTAATCAAACGACATTATTTGAAGAAAGTAAGGTTTCAAAAAGAGTTGGAGTGCATTAGCACGAGGGTGGCATTTAAAAAAAAAA